ATTGGGGGTATTCAAAGAGATCATAATAATAATGCTGAAAATTGAGAAGATAACAAAAAGTTTTCAACATACCAATCAGAAAAAGGAAGTATTTGGATTTTGCTTGCGATAGGTACGAAAAATTTTATTGCATATCAAGTGGTGTAAGGAGATGTGAATTCTCAAATTTATTGTTATCATCTTTAGCAGCTAATAAGAGCATTCAAACATCATAATGAAAAATAAGAGTTTGTGTTGATTCTTGATAATAGCCCTGTGCATAGAAGCAAACGTATTCTGAAAGTGATGAGTCCAGTTTAATGTTTATTTTTGCCACTAGACACTCCATAGCTAAATCCGATTGAAAAAGTTTGGAATAACTTAAAGAGATTTCTTATAACAAATAGAAACTTTTAATCACCCAATGTGCATTACCTCAGACACTAGTTTTTTAATGGAATCAATGAATAGGACAATGAAAAATACTGCCTTTCAGTGCTTTATCAATCTGAAAAAAATTGAATATTGAAAAAAAAATTGTTTTTTTAAATTAAATACATTTACTCTCATCCAAGATTTTATTTAAAATCTGTTTCTCCCAGTCAAAAAAAAATTTGAAAAAAAAAACATACACACATTTATTAACAATTTGAGGATTTAAAACTTAACTATAGGCAAATTTATTATTTTGAAATAACTTATTATGTGAGTAAAAATATGATTTAATGATAGATATATTGAGCAGAATTGAGACCTTGATCATTTATGAATGAAAAATAATGATATTGTAAAACAATAATAATATATTCGATATTGATAATACTCAGTTAACATAGAAGTTGATTTCACTCTTCAACTTTGATTCTAATTAGATTTCCAAAAATACAGCTACCTTTGGATTTCAATCTAGATCTCAAATCAATGCCTTGATGATTGATGAATTCTCCTTTGAGAACTAGAGCTCCTTATGGTTATAAATATTGCAGAATAGAATATAAGGAGTGTAGTGATGTAATAGGTAGCCAAATATATGATAGGGCATAAATACTACCTTCGGTGATATGGCTATGTTATTGGAGTGGATTCTTAAATTACGCAAGAATATCTTTGTAGTTTTTATCAGATGATTTAATTTCTTATCCTGTCTTTACATCCCATAGACGGATCCTGAGTATCAGAAGCTAACGTGTTTCCATCAGGTAAAAGCAGACTGATTTTACAGATCCATTATGACCATTTATTTTACTTAAACATGGATTCTTAAATTCTTCCAATTACAATTCAATAATAATGCTTCATTTATATTTATTCCACTTAAACTAAAATTATTAAATTAGGATCCACTAAAATTAAACCTAACAAAATTAGCTCCCAACAAAGAAGTATTTAGATCAAATCATGTTTATAAAACTAAATTTCTATTAATAAAGGATTAAAAAATAATTATTAACCTTAATTATTAATGATATTATAAAATTACCAATTATAGAATAATCAAAGATTTATAATTTTTGAATAATAAATATCATTTTTTATATATTAAGTTAGTTCAATAGATTTCTTATCCAATTAATCTAATATTAGAGGGGATTAATTCATTAATAGAGGTGAAAATTAAAGTATTACGACTTTCATTTATGGATATTGTTTACAATACAAATTTGTAAATCCTTATTTCGTTTTATTTAATCTCTGAATTATTTAATATAAATTTAAACTAATTTCTTAATGAATTAATTTAAATGTAAAATTTAACTGGTTGATGAGTTCTCAAAAGAATACCGTTGTTAAAAGCTAAGAAATGATAAAGCATTAATTTAGTTAAAATTATCTTGAATGTAAAAGTGATTATACATTGTGTAATAACTGTTTATTATTTGATGTATGTAAAATTTCACGTTGAGCTCAAGTTAATCAATAATTAAGATTCATATATAATACGGTTAGAGAAGATATAATTATCTCCTTAAATCTTAATAATTTCAAAAATATACTACTTTTTTAATATGTTTTCAAAGTTTTTTTAATATCTTATCAATTAACAGGTGATTGATACATTATCTTGAATTGAGAGTAATGTTAAAATTAATCAATATCATATTGTTTTAACTTTGTTATATAGTTTAGATTATATTCTAAGATTAGCTTTATTTTTTTTTCATTCTTGTCATATCTTTTTTATTATTATCTTTGTTATTAAATATATCTTTTACTATTTATAAAAACTAATTTTACAAAATTATTAATTATATCTATTAAGACTTATGTTTATAAATAGTAATTTATAAGGACATCTCAATAAATATACCCTACATTTCCTTAAAATGGAATATTTTTGAAAAACTTGTATGAATCTTAAGAAATTGAAATAAAGAATAGAGCAAAAAAAAGATATAATTAAAAAAATATGAAGAATAAATTAAGATAATAATTGTTGTAATGTTCCTTATGAATAATAATTATCACTTTTACTTAAGGTCTTCCAAAAAGCAACTTCCTTTTGATTTGAATAAAGGTTTTAAATCGTATCCTTCATAATTTACAAATTCTCCTTTCAAGATCAAAGCTCCTTATGCTTAAAATTATGGTGTTTAAGATATTCTTAGAATTGTAATATTGTTGGATTCTAAAAGGTAATAAATAATTAAATACCTGCCAGAGGATTATTTGAAAATAGTGGTGCTTTGAATTAAGCAAGAATATCTTTATAGTTTTTATCAGAGGATTAAATTTCTTATCCTGTCTTTACATCCTATAGACGGATAGACTTATCACCACTACCAGAAGCTAA